CCCCCCCCCCCCCCCCCCCCCCCCGATCATGGAGGCCATCAGCTGAAGTGATCTTCCCCCCATGCCGCAGAGGCCTTCAGCCGAAACGGCCCCTCCCTTTCTGGGTTCAAACCCCAGAGATCCAACCAACCAGATTCCTTTGGACAACTTGCCTGACGGGATAACCTCCCATCAGCAGCAATAGATCCCAGTTTGAATGGTCGAGGCTCCCGCCACGACGAAACCCCGTTAGCGTTAGCAAAATTTCCGTTTATATTAAGATCGTTTACCATTTCCAGCAATGCGCCTTGTGCACAGGAATGGTTTCACCTAGGTAGGGACGATGCTTGCGCTTGCGCAGGCCTCCGCCCTCAGTTAGCTTTTTGGTTGGTTGGTTGGTTGGTTGTCTATTGGCATATTCATCGCCCTGATGACGGAGGCAGTATGACCTCTGAAACGTTGGTTAACATCAACCAGACTACACAGCGCAACAACCCAGAAGACGGATATCTTCAGATACTAATAACTTTGTATTGTCAGTCTATGCTGCAAAATCCAACTGACAGCTCGCCAGCTTATCTTCAGCACAGAAAAATAGTTTCCTGATAACTAATAATCACAGGCAATGATAGGCAATATGATAGGGTGAGACAGAAGATGAAAAGGAAAGTTTAAAAATACTCATTTAAATACTACAGAATTCTTCAGAATAAAATAACTTAATAAACAATTAACCGCCACGGTGGTCTATCGGTTAGAACGCTGGCCTTGTAATCCTGGGGTCTCGGGTTCGATTCCCGGCGGTGCCCGAATTTATAACTTGTGTTGGGCAAGGCCGTGGTTTAGGTAACACGGAGTTTTCCTCCGGGGGCTTCCCGGTTTCTCCGTGGCATCCCAACAATTACTCCATTCACACACAGAAGAAGGCAATGGCAAACCACTTCTGGATCATCTGCCAAGAACGTATGTGAACAGGTCCCAGTCTGAGAAAAGGATGGAAGGATCCTGTTCATATGGACCTGTCGTCAGACAGGACACTAATAATAATAATAATAATAAACAATTAGAATTGTGTTGTAAACTGTGTGTTGTGTTTCAACGAACACATAGAGAAATTAACAAGTTCACAAAAGTATGCATAGCAAAGCGATTCTGACTTGGTCAGCGTATTTTGATCTTTGACCTTCAAAATTAATGTCAGAATTCTCTGACGTTTGTGTACTTTGTGTCGGCGCGGTTTATGGTGCCTATCTGCATAGATGATAACGTCACAGGAATTCCCCACCCAGTGATTCCCCAAGAGTAAGTTTTTCTCTCGGAAGGTCTTAATCTAAAGAACCCTTTGTTCATTTTGAGCAAATTTCGGAACGTGTCTACACGTAGACAGACAGACAGACATGGCGTGGCCAATAAGTGAATTTATGTTTCTCTCTGTTGCCAGTGCCAATGAAAATGGCTTTGAAGCAGACTTCTGTTCGTTTTTGATGGACTCAACCTTTTTTACGCAATGTAACTTGACGTTGGACCATTTTACTGCGTCACCAGCCTTTTGTCACGCAGACAATTCCAACGTTCTTTGTTATTTTGGGATGTTTTCTAAGCAGTTAGCATTGTAAACGTCAGGTGGTATTATGATTGCAAGTCTGTCGTGATTTGTTGGAGTCTTTCCATTCACAGCAAGAGCTGTTATTTCCAGCGTACATCGTCTGGTTACCCACGATGCTTCGTCGATACATAAATATGTTGCCCTAGACACTGCTGGGAGTACTGAATCCTCACCGTGATGAAAAATGCACCAATCAACGCAATGATTTATCAGTTTAAACATGCCACGGATTTGCGGGCTGAGATGGCGTGACCGGTCGCCATCTCAGTGACGTCATTGTGCTTCGTGTGTCTCTTGGTAGTTCAAGTCCAGGAGGCTCAGACGAGACGAAGCGGCGGAAACTCAGGGACCAGCGCGGACAAGATTAAACTACAGAAGTTCGATGGATCCGCATCCTATACAGTGGAATACCGTCAATTCCAGGCCGCGGCTAGTCGCAAGTGGGCATCAAGCGAGACGTTCTCGCATCGGCTCGCTATATTGCAGAGATTAGCAGCTGACATCGATGGGGGCTCTGAAGGGCCGTTATGGTGACCACCAGAAGTATCAATTCAAAACTAGGATCCAGCTTATCGGCGACTCACTTCAGGAATTTACAACTGCCATCGAGCATTTGGCGAAGCTAACCCTTGTCGGTCTACCTGAGGACTTTATCTAGATGGAGACAGTCCATGCATTAATCGACGAATTGCGATGTCAAGAAATGAAGATGCTCCTCCAGCCGGACCACCAAGGAGGCTGCGAAGTGACGAGAGTCCCTGTGGGAACGCTTCCGCCCCCAACAGAGCGTTGGAGGAATGGGCGACTGATATGTTGGCAGTGACTTGGAAAAGCCGGTCACCTAGACACACGACTGATACTTGGAGAGGAAGTCACCGATAACCGAGGCTGGGTAGATGACTGTGCAACATTATAACCTGGGCAAGGAGTCGCCACCCCTTCTGCTTGATAAAAATCGACGACTGGATGTTGGTATTGCAACTTTGGAGAGGCAGGACAAGGAGCTGAAAGCAAAGTTGTCAGAATCGAAGACTGCTTAGAAAACGAATACCAATCGCCGCATCGGAGACAAAGGACAGGAAGGCCGCCGGAAACGACGGGTCATTAATTTTTGTCGCTGCAGGTGGCTTCGGCGTTCCTCCCAGAGGAGGGTACTTGGCAGATCCTACAGGAAGCGGAGACTGGGCAACGCCATGAATGGAAGGACATCACTGACAGAGCCCGGCGAGAGAAGGCATGCTGGAGCAGAACTGGGAGCGGGCTGATAATGGAACTAAGACGGCCCAAAGAACCCTTCCCTGGAGTAAGGTGAAGGAAGGGCTGGCAGAACTCCATGGAAGACCTTCGGAAGGATATTTTGGGGTCAGCAACGGACTTGGTGAAGTAAGACAGAGATGGTGCTAGCTGCGCTGAAAAATATATTCGAGAGGTGGTGCGAGCCTTGTCCAAAAATCGGAAATCGGGTAAAATTGATCATTGCAACGTCGGGACACCGTTCGAGAGGATAGACCTAGCAGGACCCTCCTATGGAGAGCGAGAGAGAGAATCAGTACTCCCAATCGTCGCGGACTAGAGGTTGGGACCAGATGTTACCCATGTTGCTTCTGGCTCACTATCATGATGTTCGGATGGGAGCTACGTCTACCCAGTGACTTTTGTTCAGGTTTCCTCTGACGAGATACAGTCTTCGACCGACAAAGTAGTGGGCCTCGTAAATCGGCTACATGACATCCATTACTATGACAGTCAATATTTGAAGGTGTGATCGAATGGATGAAGGCCCACTACGACTGTTTGTCCAATTGCCCGAGATTCCAGGAAGGAGAGGAAATGTGGCTGTACCATCCGACTTGGACCAGAGGAAGTCACCTACGCCCCAGCCATCCTGGAAAGGCCTGTCCAACCAGTGGTTGTCACAGATTTTTCAGATCTCTTCCAGTGTTACTATTAACTTGGACTTTACATTTCTGAATATCTAGGCAACACGGAGTTTCCTCCGGGGGCTTCCCCGGTTTCTCCGTGACATCCCAACAATTACTCCATTCACACACAGAATAAGGCAATGGCAAACCACTTCTGGATCATCTGCCAAGAACGTATATGAACAGGTCCCAGTCCGAGAAAAGGATGGAAGGATCCTGTTCATATGGACCTGTCGTCAGACAAGAACACTAAATAATAATATATCAGTGTCATCTCTCCAACATAACAGATTATCCCATGCAGTAGGATATGCACATGGATAAGATGGGAGAAAAAAGGAATGCGTACACTTTTTGGAGGTTGAGTTTGGGGGGGATTATGTTGGTAAATGTTCGACTGGAAGGAAGTGAGAGGATTACACTAAATTGAACGTTTGGTGGACATGTTTTCAATTTGGCCCAGATTCATGTACAATGGAGGTTTTTGGTACAGTGGTGTTGAACTTTTGTTTTTCCGAATCAAAACGTTAGTCACTTATGTGACACAACAGTCAGACAGACAGACAGACAGACATTCATACGTACATACATACATACTTACTTACTTACTTACTTACTTACTTACTTACTTACTTACATACATACATACATACATACATACATACATACATACATACATACATACATACATACATACATACATACATACATACATACATACATACATACATACATACATACATACATACATACATACATACATACATACATACATACATACATACATACATACATACATACATACATACATACATACATACATACATACATACATACATACATACATACATACATACATACATACATACATACATACATACATACATACATACATACATATATATTTCTGTGATTTGTTTGTGGTTTAGGCAGACAGAATTTAATTTAATTATTTGTGTGTTTTGTATCATACTGAAATTTGAAATCTGCACTTTTATAGTGCACCTTCATAAGTTGTATGAGCTGAATCTAGATATCACAAGTTCAGATTTCCCGCAGCATTTTTTGTGGGGTGAGTGAAATGTTGTGTTAAGTTACAGTCAGAATTATGCATTCGTATATCCACATACTAGTCTTTATACTTTGTTTTGTTTAATGTTCTAATTCTTTCCAGTATCTGAATTTTGTGTCTATGTGGTATGTTCCAGGGTGTTTGAGGACTTGGTGATGTACTGTGAAAGCTACAGTGATCTTATTCCATTATCCTTTGTTCTTGGTTTTTATGTCTCAATTGTGATGCAAAGGTGGTGGAATCAGTATGTCAGTATCCCATGGCCAGATACTATAGCTGTGTTTGTCAGCTCCAATATACACGGGCAGGTACATGAACCATGTTCTTACAATTTTTGTTTTCACTGACTGCCATCTGCAATCCTGGTCTCCAAAAATTTGGCTTTGTCCTTAAATAAAGTTTCTGCAAATGATTTGATAACCTCATAGTAAAATGTAAGATCTGAGGTTGCTACAGCAGTGAGTACGAAGATGTCTGTCTTCTGGGTTGTAGAACCATGAAGTCTGATAGAAGTTTACCGAAAATTCAGTGGTCCTTGCTGGCTCCATCACCAGGCTGATGAGTGATCACTTAGAGACCTCTAAAATGTTAGTAAGCTTCTACCAGACTTCACAGTAATACAACCCAGAAGAGAGCCATCTTTTTTCATAACACATTCACAACAGCAATCAGATACCTGGTTCTAACCTGCAGAAGAGCAAATACTGTTGTTGGTTCTGACACAGATTTGAAAGCTTTACACTTTGCCAGATTCAAGTTACTTATGTCTGTGTAAAAACTAATATGTTACAAAATATGAGAAACAAAACATTATTATAGTAGTTTAAACAGAAATAAATTAAAGTAATTTTACTGAATCTTATGGAGTTGGCTGTCTTTTGGGTTGTAGTGCTGTGTAGTCTGGTAGAAGTTCAACAACGTTTCAGAGGTCCTTGTTACTTCCACATTGTCTTCATGGTTGAGGCATCCAGGACGTCTGAGTGTTGGTAAACTTCTACCAAACTACACAGCACTACAATCCAGAATACAGCCATTGTTTCATCTAATCATATGATTAAAAAATATTGAATTACAAAGCATGCAGAAGGAAACAGTCCTGGCCTAATTGGTGATACTATCCCAGCATCTGCCTTAAGGGTCTGAGTGGAACCATGAAAAACCTCAGTCTGGACTGAAATTTGAAACCAGAATATGAAGGACTGCTAACCACTCAGCTACGGCATTTAGTTTATATTTATCAGTATTATTGTTCATTGGTAATCTTCTAATGTTATATACACCCTATATTTGTCTTTGAAACAAGTTATAAAACATTTTTTTATATTGTATTAAACCAATGAGTATATTTCACAAAATGCTCTTGTGTTCCAGGATGAGCGAGGGCGTGTGATGCGTCGGACAATCATGCGATATGTGTGCCTTTGTTTAACCATGATATTCACCATGATCAGTCCAAGAGTTAAGAAACGTTTTCCAACACTGGACCACTTTGTTGAAGCTGGTCTTCTTACAGACAATGAGAAGTCCATAATGAATGACTTAAACAATAAATTCCCAAGGCATTCTAAACAGTGGCTGCCCATTGTGTGGGCTGCCAGCATAGTGACGAGAGCCAGAAAGGAAGGCAGGATACGAGATGACTTTGCAGTGAAGACTATCATCGACGAACTGAACAAGTTTCGTGGACAGTGCGGCCTTTTGCTAAGCTATGACTCCATCAGCGTGCCCCTGGTGTATACTCAGGTAAATCACACCACTGTTCTCTTTATGTTTTGGATGTAATATCATAGCTTGATTTTTCAATGAATGTTCACAAAATTTGTACATCCATTATTCAAAGACTTAATAGTTCATTGTTTGTTTACCAGGTGGTGACATTAGCTGTTTACTCATATTTTATAACATGCATCATGGGGCGACAGTGGGTAGAAGAAATAGATGAAAATCTGCAGAAACAAAGGAACTCCATTGATTTGTACTTCCCTATCTTCACAACATTACAGGCAAGAAGTATTCTGAATAAAAATGTACTCCATATTTGAGTGCAGATAACTCTATAGATCTACAAGGTTTAGTTTATAAAAGTATCATACCTTGAAGTCAAGTAGCTCTTACCTTGGAGTTAATGAATAGCCAAATATCAGCAAACTAGTTTTTGGCTGTTTATATGACATGTAAAAGTGAAATGTCTCTGGGAAGATCACCAGTTTTCATGTAAGGTTATCAGTGTCATCTGCAATGCTCTTTGTGTATGATTCATTTTAATTATGTACTGTAATTCTCAATAAATGAAAGGAGAATATAATATTTACCAAAATAATAAATAAATAACAGTAATAAGTAATATAAAATGGAATTTAACTTAGAAACTCATATTGATTATGAAAGAGCATTTTACCAGGACAGCAGCAATAAGCTGTGGCAAATATTACAGAAAAGAGGATACCCACTATAATTGACAGAAGTTGTAAAATTTGTATCTCCAGAAACAGTTGTAGTATATTTAAATTGATTGTCATATCAGACTTAAATCTTTGCTGTAGACATTCACTTATGTATGTACTTACTTTATGGAGCGAGTCCTTCCTGTGTTCATAGCAATGTTAAATTTGGGGTCTTCATTAATAAAAGTATAGTTCAGCATGTTGCTACATCACACTAAATACCTTTTGGATGTGCAGTACGTATTCCTTACCTGGATGCACTGGGTTAATAAAGTTTAAGTTATGTAAATGCATAAAAGCTCTGTGGTATTGAATTGAATTTGGGCAGATGGTCGTGTGTTTGAATCCTGGTAGTCATTGCTGTTTTATGCAACAGCCATGTTTCTGTTTCACATTCCACCAAGAATTACTCTAACAAACGTAAATAGTCATTAACAATTTAAAATATATTATTTTTGTTAAGTGTCTGTAAATTAAAATTATATCTGTTGTTGTTATAATGAAATATTGACATGTGAAATAATATGCCAAAGTCTATTTTTCACTTTGTTCAGTTCTTCTTCTACATCGGATGGCTCAAAGTGGCAGAGAGTTTAATTAATCCATTTGGAGAAGATGATGATGATTTTGAAGTAAACTGGCTGGTAGACAGGAACCTACAGGTAAGTGAGAATGCAGATAATTATCTGCCATCTCTCTCTCTCTCTTATGAGAGAGAAAGAGAGAGAGAGATGGCCAGCAGACCAGATTTTGTATGTCTGTCCAAGACCTGGAAAGTAATTATTCAACTGTTCTGTTTTAATTACTATTTCATTCTTTGCCCCAGAACATTATATTCTTTAATTTATCATTATCTATATACTAGCACAGTTCCTGCACTGTCACTGCAGGGAAACTGAATGAATGTTTACAAGTGTACAAATTCTTAACACAACTCTTTTGTCGTGTTTAGGTAGCTAGTACTAAACTTGTTTAGCTGCAGAAACCATCTTAGCCAGGGCTCAAACCAGGACACATTTTTCAGGATTGTGACCTTTGTTCCCATCTTCTCCTTACCAAAACAAACAATTTTGGTTTTTGTGCTGTTCTTTTATGATGTTTAATTTTTGAGCTACAGAAACTGTCCTTATTGGGACTTGAATTCAGGAGCTGTCATGACTGAGGATTTTGTGATTTAGGCAGTGACAGTTTCCTGACATATTCTTACTTGCCATCCACAATAATTTTCCTGACTCATTCATTGCAAGGGAAACTAATAAATTTCCACATGTAGCGATAACTGTCAAGAACTTTACACATTAGTGGGCAACTGTGGGCCATGATAATTGTTAGCCCAATGGTTTTATGGTCAATAAAGTAATTCATAAGACTGAGAATCCCTTAAGAGTGTTTTCATGGCTGTAGTTGTAACTATTTAAGCACAGGAGTGACAGGCATTGGCTATTATTTATTAAGATTAGTATTGAATGTTTAATCCTCCAGAATGTGCAGTTTGTGAAGTTCAAGAGAATTAGAAGGAACTGGAACTGAATCGAACATGGCTGATGAGATTAATTCACTAGCAAAAAAGTTCACTTAGGAGTCACTAAGAATTATGGTCCACAAACACAGAAAGAACTAAACAAGTGTTTTGTTGTGAAACTAGAATACAGGGCAAACTCAAAATATAAGAATATATGAAAAACCTTTTGAAAATGTCCAAGTTTTAAGTAGCTGAAAATTATGGCAATAAGAATTATTCATTTAAATAAAACTAAACCCAGGAAATGCATTGTACTTTGGAGTAAACATAAAGTTAAAAATATTGATTTGTACTTTTTTATGTGTGTTTACAACATCCTTATAAGTTAATTTTCTCCATACAGCTGTACATCTCAAGAAGGGCTGAATGGATTGTCATGAAATTTGGTATGTGTATTATGCCTTGAACCAAACACATACTTTCATATTTTCTATTTACTACAATCAATAATACCAATGTGCTGAAAGCTAAAAGTCATAAGGTGAGAGTATATTCCTCCTTGATGGCACCATTACACATAATCCTTTGTGAAGATTTGATGATGTCATCACTCATATGCATGTAATGACTTGAGAATGGCTGGATGGATTATCATGAAATTGGGTTTGAACACTATGCCTTTTGAGGTATACTCCAAATTCATACAAATATTCCCTACAGCTGTTCATACCAACATGACAGTTACTGAAAGTGATGATGTGGGAATGGATGGAATGTATTCTTTCATGATAATGTCACTGTCCTTGATGAAATCTTCCATTGTGGTATCACTGCTGACCTTACCAGGCCCTCAAAAGGCCTGGTTCACCATCACTTCTCCAAACCTTATGGTTGATGAACAGTCACCACTCCTTTCCACATAACTGCTGCAAATCCTCCCCTGTCTAACATGGTCACCAGTACCTCCTTTGTCACATCCTCTCAAAATTCTGTCACTTCATTTCCTCAACCACAAGCTTCTCTTCCATTGGACAGCAGCCCACTCCTACATTGCACCAATCAGCAGCATCAAATCTATCTCTCCACTTACTTCCTGCCCTTTATAAGGCCTCTGGAACTTGCGCCACAACATATGTACCTTGAAAATGGCAAATGTAGTGTTTGCTGAAACGTTGGTTAACACCAAACATTCGACGTAGCTCTCACCTGAAAGCCGAAGTTGCACGTTGAACTCCAGCTGTGAGAAACTGTGCACAAGAATTGTGGAGCTTGGTACAGGATAAAATAAAATTAGTAGAAAGAAGAATGGTATGATATGTGGTGGTTTATGTTTCAGGTTTCTTATCTGATTGTAGATGAAATGCATCATGAACACCCAGAACTGATCAAAGACCACTATTGGGATGAAGTGTTTCCTGCTCAGTTGCCATACACAGTTGCATCTGAGCAGTTCCGGGAAGAACATCCCCAACCTTCAACTGCCAACATCGAGGTGCCCAACTCAGCAGCTGAATATTCTGTACTTTTATCAATCAGGATTGATGATATTGGTGATCATGCTGTAAGTCGGCACAAGTCTTTCAGAAATTGAGTTATTACATGGTCATATTTTCACTGTGCTGTTATCAGTGGCAGTATCTTTCCTTCTTAAATTGGTTCCAGTTTCCCATGCATATGCTACAATATGTATTCATTTATAGTTTATTAATGACACTTCTCCAGTAACTCAGACAGTATATTATCTCTCTCTTTGTTTGGTATAGTATAGTACAGTGGTATAGGGGAAGAGATCGTAAAGATCTAATGAAATATTGGCCATACTGTAACACAATGCCATCATCCAATAAACAAAAGTGTCATGTGTTTGTGAACTCACAGTTACAACATTGAGTGAATACAGCACAAAATGGCAGTGTAGCTCACTTCCTCCACTTTGCATGTTACTCCATAACACCACAGTGAGACTAAACAAATGATTAGAGTTCAGTAGTTGGTGACTGAAATCTTTGTGTACTTTGTGCAAAACTTGGTACTCTGACAGTACAGTTGATGATACATTTATAATGAAATTGACATCTAAAATATAACAAATTTTGCAAAGGCCTATATATTTTGAATGGTAATTTGTCAACACATCCCCTGGCATTTCTTGCAGAGCCAATGTACAGAGTTCCAGCAAAATTAACCAACATTTATGGTGCAGGATATTTCTTGAAGAGCTGACAGTTACTCAGCTGTTCCAGAAATGATATTGCTGCTTTCAAGGAAGTTCATTTCAGTGTTTATAGAATAGTCTCTTGATCCTGTTCTCTGTCTGTCTAATCATGTCCTCACTTTCACACCTTGATTCTTGAAGATTGATTTTTATATTATCTCCCACCTATGCTTAGGTCTTCTATGTGGTCTCTTCCTTATAGATCATCTGATCAAAATTTTATATGCATATCTAATTTTGCCCATGCCTGGCACTAAATGTGTTAACATATACCAAGAACACAAGCCATACAAGGAAGTTCATTTTAATCTAGACAGTTCAACAAGTACAGGCAACATTTATTTAATATTAAATAAATCTTAAACATGTGCTTAGTTCAGATTATCTTATCTTGCAATATGATGATGCACAGAGTGGAATCCAGTTCTCAGCTGGCCCAAAAAGAAGAAGTATAAGTCGTGTGAACACACGAGAACGCATGACACCTGCTGGTTCAGCTACTAGTATGAATACAGGAAGCCAGGCCAGCTCACTGCACCGTTCGGGTTCAGTACCGTCTGTTATCCGGCAACTCTTTTCCAGGGAAGGGTCTACTGGAACAATCGCTGCAACTCAAACACCTGTCACTGTAGATGGAGGTGGGTGGTCCTAAATGCCCTAAAATAATGTATTGCGTCCTTAAAGATGGTGTTTCAATTTAGGTAAAAAGTAATAATTATCCTTTTTCCCATTAAATAGTAATGTACAAATTTAAACAGAAGTAAGTGAAATGTGAGAGTGACCAATGGAAATCAATAAGAAGTTGAGCATATTAACATTCGTAGTACGCACTTTAAATAGTCACTGTACCTCTCACTGAATAGATTTAAATTTGAACATTTAAATAAAAAGACATCCTTATGATAAGACTGCGCATACTTCTAAACTGCTGACTTTAAATTAAAAATAAAAAGCATACTTCTGAAGACAGAACAGAGATTAGCCCATAAAAATATTTCCTTTTCTACAATATAATATATATATTTAACAAACTGTTCCTTTTCTTCTAAAATTAAAATATATAACACTTTTTTATTGATCCTGAAACATGTCACTGTATTTTCTTACTAAAGGGGACATCTATCAGAATGTGAAGCATATATATGTGTTCAGATTTCTATGTTAATCCTTATACAACTGATATACACATAATTTAACCTGAATATTTGCAGAACTGAATGCAGTTTGTGTAATTTCTGCAGCAATGGAACACATGCAAAAATTCAGCTTCTTTCCAGTGCCAGTGCCAATTATGAGTGTGCTCTAGTCACTCTAATTTTGTGGCTGGTTGGACCATTGCATTTTCTCATGCCTCTCTGAAGTCCACTAAATTTGTAGATATCCCTGCAGCTTCTTGCAAGTTGTACAAGTCTTCAGTTTGTCTGCTCACTAACATTAGCCTCTTCTCAGTCTTCCTGCATTTCTATTTCATTATCTTATATGCTTCTTATCTAATATGCATTTGAGTCAGTGTCAACTGCTAAGTTTATTTCCAATTTTTTTGCAGTTTATTCTTTAGAATATATCTTAGTATATCTAAACCTTGATAAAAAAACCGTAGCACAATTTCCTTTGGAGGGAAGGTAAAGCCAGTTGTCCCATGTCGTAGATTTACAGCATGTGAAAGGACCTTGTGAGCATGAACGAAATGTTTCGCAAGCAAAATTCAGTGGCCATTTCTCACCCATGTCCCTCCTGATTCTCAGGATTGAGTATAAATTGTGCAGAGGCAGTGGGCTAGTCACTCACTACTCACAGGTACACACTTTAAAGACTAGGAAACCTCCCGATTGGGAGGAAGCCAAGGTCTGAACTTGGGCCTTAGCGGTATTGGATGGATTGATATCTAAACCTTGCTGTTCTCTGTAGTAAAAAAAAAAGAAGAAATAAGCTAGTTCTCCTTGTTGGAGACCTTCTGGAAGAATATGGAAGAGAATTGCGCCCTTAGCCTGTCATGAGACAGAGACCAACCACTGCAGCTATAAAATTATCATTGCTGTTGTCCAGTCATAACCTGTAGTGGCCTGACAGGGGCAAGAGGCTGTGTTGGGTGTGTTCTGCTTGTGGAAGCGTTAAAATAAACTGCATTTAGATGTGCAAAGTGTGGGGCTGGATTATGTGTATCTATGTTTTGAGGATCACCACATAAACCTGTACTTACAAATACTTTACAGCTTGACACATTTACCCTTGTGTGTGCAAACATAGCAATTTTTTCCTTGACATGTGAATAATAACAATGTCCTATATATTTCAGTTTTAAGAAGTAATAACACTTTGTTCAATGGGTATATGGTTTTCTAGAAAATAAATAATATTTCTGAGCTAACCTCTGTTCTGTTGTCATGAGTATACTGATTATTTCATAATTTTGAAGTCTGTAGTTTATAAGATATGATTTTTCATCAGGACATTTCTTTTTATTTAGATGCCCTGAATTAAATCCATCCAGCAAGGGATGCTATTTAAACTGAGCATTATAGAGTTTAGGCTCATCAATATCTCATGGCTAAAGAGAGGGAAGTAAACCAAACTATTATGGTAGGAATAAGTTGAATCTTCAGCAGTGGACTTTAATTCTAAATGAAAAGCTTAGCAGTAATCATACCGACTCATTTATAGGACTATTTTTACAGAAAACAATACTATTCTTTTCAGTAATTTTCATTTTAATTGTATATTATTGCAAACATAACTTGATATGCTTTACGATACTGAGCTGCATTCAAGTACATCATCATATTGAGAATAGTGAATGAGAACACTGGTTTAGCAGTCACATTATACGTGTTGTCAAGGAACCAACAGTCTTCTATTTTATTGTTTCAGCTGTGGCCAGCTCATGGTTTGTTCTGACTGATTGTGTGCTGCATGACTAATGAGAATAAATAAATGCTATTTCTAGGCAATGAATGAAACCTAGTTGTAAAATTGATAATCATACATAACTTGAGTAAACGATTTTGTCTCATGATGCTGATCTCCGTGTTAATGTTAATTATTAATTGTTATGTTATGTAGAACAGTTGTGATAAAACAGGTTCGTATTAATAAGAGTGTGGCAATTTGTTCGAGATTAGTGTTTTAATATATATATTTATTTTGGCCGTCTATACACAAACTTATTAAAATGAGTTGTTAAAATATTATAACATTCACAATATAAATATAAAATATATAAAATATGTTGTTATGTTTTGGTGCTCTTTTTATCGTATTACGATATTACATTCCATTTTGGCACCTTCATATTAGAAACGACATGTTTCGATGTACTGAGACATCATCTTCAGGTTATCAATTCTATTATTTATTGATTTTATGCGTTTGTGAATCCATCCATCTTCATGATTGATTTGGTGTTAATGTTTCGTTGTTTATTGTCTGTGGAATTAATTTCCAGTTATTATTATAATACAACACTTATAGAAATTTATTTCTTATACACATTTGTTGGTATGGAATTAACATAGGAAATGAATAAATACTATATATTATATATAAAATACTGAAAAACATACCTTGTTGTAATGTGTTGTATCATGTCTGACACCGGGAATCAACACAAACATGACGCAATTGAGATACAAATTAGTGTTTTAGTTTGTAGTATCATGAATTTTTGTATTCATGCTATAAGCCTTGTGACTTGATGTGCATTATTCCATGAAACATTGTATTTTTCAGGAGGTCTGCCATCAAGAATCCCAACAAGCAACAGCTCAGCTAGTCTTTATTCCAAACTTTTGCCTGGTGGGAGCATGAGAATAGCTGATCAGGTCATAGAAGAAGTAGATGAGCAGTCTACTGTGCAATCCATAAGGCCACCAGATCAGCAACCCAGTGTCAGAACAATCTTCCCTATACCTATCGGACCTACCGGACCACAACCTGCCTCTGCACCTGTAGCAGTCCCAAAAAATTCTTTTCACACACGAAATCTGAACTTCCCGCTTCTATCTTCATCAGCACCTGCATCTGCTGCAATTCCATTGCCAACATCTCCAGGTCATTCAAGCATGACTTATACAGAAATACTTTCAGTGAAAAGTGCATTTGGCTTAGGCAATGATGAGCCTAAGCCAAATGCACTTTTCACTGAAAGTATTTCTGTATAAGTCATGCTTGAATGACCTGGAGATGTTGGCAATGGAATTGCAGCAGATGCAGGTGCTGATGAAGATAGAAGCGGGAAGTTCAGATTTCGTGTGTGAAAAGAATTTTTTGGGACTGCTACAGGTGCAGAGGCAGGTTGTGGTCCGGTAGGTCCGATAGGTATAGGGAAGATTGTTCTGCTACTGGACTAGGTAGTGCAAGCCAGATGGGATCACAGGACAATGGAAATACTGTAACAATAGCAGCACATGGTGAAGGTGATAATGTCAGTATAGGTGGTTCCAGTACAGACAGCACCTCGGAGGATGAATTTACAAGGCTGAAATCTAAGAGAAAGAAAGAGAGGAAAGAGAATTTGATGCAGAGGTTAGCAAGATCGATTAGTGCTCAGCAAGCAGCAATAGGAATGGATTATCAAGACAATGAGCAGTTATTAATAGACTTGACAGCAAGCTCAGGGACTGGAATCATACCTGCGTTGCCAAGGTCCAGTAATTACGATGATGCAAATGTGTGACAGCCAGCCAAAATAGATTAGCCCAGTCACGTCATACTCATATATTCTGGAACGCGGTCCTCCGCAGGCAGCACTTCCCCTCAGCATGGAAACACGCTCGCGTGGTGGCCATATTGAAACCGGGGAAGGACCCCACACTACCTTCTTCCTACAGACCCATCAGTCTTCTCGACACGGTCGGCAAGCTCTGTGAGAAGATCCTATTAACAAGAGTCCTACACTAGGTCAGCGAACGCGGGCTACTGCGCGACGAGCAGTTTTGGTTTCGACCCTGGCACAGCACGGCGATGCAGCTGGCTCGCCTCGTCGAAAGGGTCAACAGAAACCTTGATGAGAAGCGGCTAACCGGCGCGGTTTTCCTGGGCGTGGCCAAAGCCTTTGACACAGTCTGGGTCGAAGGCCTCCTATACAAACTAACCGTCCTCAACTTCCCGTCTCTTCCTACCTCGCTGACCGGACATTCCAGACATCCTTCCAGTCGGCCACGTCCACACGTCGTACCATGCGGGCTGGAGTTGTGCAGGGCGGAATTCTCTCCCCTGTGTTCTTCAGTCTGTATGTCAACGACATACCCACACCGTCCCGCCACGTCGAGTTAGCACAGAATGCGGACGACACGGCTCTAGTC